TGCTATTCTCAGGGAAATTCTCAAATTATGTGTTAGAAATGTTGAAGACAGCATTGCCTCATGGGTGGACTTTTTCTTAGAAACCAATCAGACTACGTATGTAAAAGACACGAAGAATGACAGTTTCTGAAGATAAATGAAAATGAAACAGAGATGGTTCATCCTCATTTTCTGTAAGATTACACAGACATATTACTAGTCAAGGGAGCTGGTGCTGGTCTCAACCTGCTGTCTCTCGGCTATGCCAGAGAAATGTCCCACTTGCTTTAGTACTATGTTACTGACATGTTCTCCTTTCCTGACCCAGAATTGCCCTTACATGAATCCTGTGTGTTTAAGATTTTATAAAATGGCTGTGTAAAAGGCTACCTGCATTGTCCAGTATATCTCTGCCACTGAAAGACGGTTGCCTAAAGCTTATTTTTTGTTGTTTTGTGCTTCCCAACTTTAAATTGTGTAATAGCACTAAAATCATATGATGGAGTTCTCATTGCTTCTTTCTGAAAAGTTGTCTGCCTTCATTTTTGCACAGATGGTCTCTGTAGCCAAGCCTAAGATGTGATTTGCCTTGTTGTCCTCACTGGAAACCTCTCCAGCAGGACTTCTCTCCAGGCTGGTTCTTTACACCTTTCAGGGGCTATGTACCTTGTTAGCTGCAAAGTACTCAATATTCTAAATTCTTCCTTCTTAGAGCAACTCTTCCCCCTGAACAAGGGCCCCTTTCTTACTATAGTTTTTCTCAGCTGCGGCCTTTCCTCCAACTTAAAGCCTAAATCAAAATTAAGATATCTTGCTGTCTTTGGCAGACTGAGCTCAACAAAAAAAGGGACGGGCTGTCTTTATATGATGGCTGTCAAGATAAAAGAGCCACAGCTTTTGCAGGCAGCAGACTATACAAAACTGTTAGCGCGTTCCACGTCACAGCCATTGTTGGAAATTTTTCTAATACTTGCTTATGTTAGCTACTCCCCAAACAAAAAAGTGAAAAGAAAAAAAAAAGGAAGAGGGATTTTTTTTAAAGAAATATGTTCAGATGGTTCCACTGCATTAACACAGTGGTGAATTAGCTTCAGTTCGATGGCACGCTCTTGGCTGCTGCGTTCTTCCGAAGGCAGCTTCCCGGCTCCTGGGAGGCTGCTAATTGAGCAAGGCAATATGTTTGCCTTACCTTGACGTTTCAGATCTAGGTAACAACTGTAAGTGAACAGCAGCAAACTGCCGACGAGAGACAAGATAGGATAAGGGTTTGCTGCCATTCTGTTCGGTCAGTTCTCTCCATTTAAGTAGAAGGCTATAAAGAGCATTAAGGTTTGTCTGCACACAATAAACTGTACTGAAAGTCAGTCGGCGTAGTGTCAGTCATCGTTTGATTTATTTATTCTCCTAGATGCTGAATTGTCACAGCAGTGACAAAAAAAAAAGCTCTGTCTTCAGTCCCAACTTAAAAATTCCACTTCTAGACCTGATTAGAGCTACATCTAAATATTTACTCTATGGAGCAGCTCCTATGACATTTGCTATAATCACCATCAAACGGAGTCTTTCCATAGCAACCACATAATAGTGATAGCTTCTTTTTTGATCATCTGCAGTTGTTGGTTGAAATTATATCAAAGCTTCAAGTCATAAATGAATTATCAATACATTTTGAACACATAATATCTTCAGAATCAAGCCCTTAATCTTTTCAAGTATGTCATGTATTCCCATTTAGGAGGTCACTCATGTATGTTATGTCTAGCACCACTGTATCGGAGGAAGAAATGTAATTAAACATAATCATTAAACACTTAATTTCTCTTTGTTTTGCATACCTCCAATATTTACTTCTGAGTGCAATCAAAATATTACTTTGCCACTGTAATTGTCATTCATCAGTTACTTGCATGGCTGTATTATTAACATTTAATGATTTTCTAGGATTGTGAAGGATCTGCAGAGGTGATATATTGTGGAAAAATGCCTAAAATCACATCCGATTTTGTTTTATTCTATGTATTTATGGCTGCCATTGTTAGCTGAAAGTTTCTTAGCTCACTAGCATAGTGAGCACTGTCCATAATCTAATCTACCCTGAAGAGACAGGCAGCAGTGTAGGAAGTGATTATAAGGATCTTCAAGTGTCTTCAAGGATTTTCTGTACTTGGACTGCAAAAGCATTTTGATCTGTTGTTGATAAAACAGGCAAGATAAATCCCATTGTTATGGTTCCTAGAGCACAACCTATTAATAAGGAACGATTCCAAAGGCAAAGAATATGATACAAATTCATCATTATTGGACTCGGAAATAATTCTAGAGAATTTTACTGTGTTGTCTGACATCACAGTGGCTGTGAATTTCAACTTCTTATCGCAAGTCATGCATAGTTAGTTTTCCCGTTATGCCTAGAGAACATAGTTTTTTCTGATTATGATACTTTGCACTTAACAATACACTGCAGTGTGTTCTGCTGCGCTATGTTTTTTTTTTATTATTTGGTAAAAATATGTTGCACCTGTGGGCTTGTGCAGCTATAAATACATAATTTTTTTGGAGTGAAACACATTTATATTAGCTATCTCTTAAAGGCCACTGCCTAAATTCTGCCTCACTATTTTGTTTTCCAAAAGATTCTGGACTGGAAATGTGCAAGCTGAGTTTTGCATTTTCAAATGTTTGAGATATTAAAAAACAGCAAGGGATTATATTGCTAATGCGAGCTCACTCTCACTGCAGGTGGCTTGCACATTATTCAGGCATCTTCCCTTTCTACTGTAGCGGTCTAAAAGTGTGCAGCCCTTGGGGCCATGTAATGGTTGCAGACTATGGGTGTGGATAAGCTGCTAACTACTGTGGGGGTTTTGCTGGTTTGTTCTTTATTAAACCGGTGCTCTGTTAAACTAAGCCTCACCACTTCACTTGTCCAGTTGCTCTTCCATCCTGCTGACACACCCGGCTTGTGTCCTTTCGCCTGACATCAACCCGTCTGGCTGCCCTAATGTAATCTGTTTACTCAGCTAATTCCCAGGTTGTTTATTATGGACCCCGTCCAACACCCACTGAAGGTAATGCAACCCTCAGCTGCCCTTAGCAGCTGTTAGATTGGGCCTATAACACGGGGCCTTCTTTGCCACTTTCAGGGTATTAAGTGCTTACAGTCTTTAAAAACTGTAAGGTAGATTTTGATCGGGATGCAGGGAGGAGAAGCAATAGAGATATTTACCTTTGAGGGGCATTTTCCACCTTCCAAGTGTTTTGGAGACACTTTGGGAAGAAAAGGCATCATTTGGATTAAACTAGTCATCCAGGCCCCTGAAATAGTCAGGAGATGGACAGGCTCCCAACACGCAGTACTTCTCACCCCTTTAGACTCCTCTCTTGAGTGGGGGAGCCTGTTCTCCATCAGTTATAGATGCAATGAGCTTAGACTAGACTTCTAACTTCTTGACAGTCATCTGTGGGTCCTATGGAGACCTAGATGCATCTGAGATGGATACCACCACCACTTTTTGGTGGCTCTGATAGAAAAACACAGGAGATTAAGGAGCTGATCCTTAACTGCCTTGGGAGTTCAAATTCACTTTGGGGAGAAGTGGAGTCAATTAGCATCAAATGGGGAAGCCTCGATTTGTTCTTTCCAGTGCCAAATACAAGAGGCAGTAATTAACTTCAAATGATAGTACACTTTCACTAGCTGTTGCTGTCATTTTAATTTCATTATTTACAAATGTTATCTTAATCTGGAAAGGATAGCTTACTGAATGTTCATTAGCCACTCCAGACATTGTTTATAAATTCATCTCTATAGCACAGAGACTTCATTCTGACAATAGTGTCCGGGTCTTGTACAAATTATGTCACAATTCTATTTAAGTTGTCCATACATCAGATTTTAGTTGTGACTGACATTCATATGATGATAAACTCTTAGGCAGGTTTCTGCCAGCAAAGAATGGCTTCCCATAATTCAGGGACAACGTTAAACTTCCACTAAAACGAATGATGTTGTTCTTCAGAATCAAAACCTCAGGCTTCAAAACTTAAAACCCAAAGGGCATCAATCCCTAGTAAATCTGCTGAAATACATAATATGTAGCAATTTGCCTTAAGCAAAGTATAATTAAGGTGATTTAGCTGAAACACTGGAGATAAAAGCAGTATCCGGTAATATTTCTTGGTGGCTAATTTAAGGGAAATGAATTTCTAGTTGTATTATCTGCATACTTTTTTCCTTTTTGTTTTTTTGTTCTTTTTTTTATAAGAGATTTTTTTCAAAGAACCTTGGCCACCCAGCTTACTACTACTTAGAAGCACCAACTTCTGGCTACAGGGAGAATTAAAAAACACATTTATAATTTTGGGGGAGAAAAAGTTCACCACTGGCAACTTTTCAGACTTTATTCAAATTTGAAGTAAAATGGGAACAGGTCCACGCTGAACAAGGGAGGTATCTTAGGAGTTGCTCTGTTTGACTTTGGCTGTAGAGATGCATCTGGAAGTGCTTGAAACTCCTGGTTTCAGAGCGCACTGCAGATGCATATGGATCCTATTTTGGAGCAAAATCAAGGTAAAAACAATCCTTTGTAGCACCCTGGTTTCCATCAGAGGTACAAAAATATGTAGCTCATCCAGACCAGGTCCCTGAGACAATTGGATGAGTAGGATGTAGGGTGTGTTGTAACACACGGCTACCAGTCGGCCTATACCCTGTAACATTATTTGCTTACGTTGTGATTTAAAAGGTAAAGCAGGATGTCAATAAATCCAATATAATTACTGTTCTCCAGACTGTGAAAAGACAATGTAATCAACATGCAGATTTGGCTTGTTAATTTTTTCAGAGTATACACATAGTAGTGGACACTGCCCAAACTTTAAATTAATTCCCTGGAGTCAACTGGCATCCAGGGAAAACTCAGAATCCGGCAACACTGTTCTTCTACAGCTTCCAGGCTAATAAATATTATTCATAATAAATAATAATAGTAATAATTTATTTGTTTCTTTTTCCTCTGCAGATAACATTTTGACACCAATATGGGAAAACAAAACAGCAAGCTACGCCCTGAAGTCATGCAAGATTTGCTAGAAAGTACAGACTTTACAGAACACGAGATCCAGGAATGGTACAAAGGCTTCTTGAGAGACTGTCCAAGTGGACATTTATCTATGGAGGAGTTTAAAAAAATATATGGGAACTTTTTCCCTTATGGGGACGCTTCTAAATTTGCGGAACACGTATTCCGCACTTTTGATGCTAATGGAGATGGAACAATAGACTTCAGAGAATTCATCATAGCCTTGAGCGTAACATCGAGAGGTAAACTGGAGCAAAAGCTGAAGTGGGCTTTCAGCATGTATGACCTCGATGGGAACGGCTACATCAGTAAGTCAGAGATGCTGGAAATTGTGCAGGTATGTTCTGCTCAGAGGTGCCCTTACGCCTCTCTCATTCCAAACAAATTGTGAAGCAACGTCGCAATGAGACACTGAATGAAAAACACTGGCAGCATTTGAGAGTTTATGCTCTTGGATCTCTGCATGTTTCCTTGAATGTAAAATGTTATTTCATTTGGAAAAGATCTTATCACAATCCAAACTCAAACGTTCGATATCTACGGCAAGTTTTTCTGAGCGTCGCGCTTGCATGGCAACTCCTTTGGGAGTTCTTCAGCGCAATAACTAACCTGGTGATAAATGTGACTTTGTCCTCTGGGAAGACCTGGCCTGTCAGTTAATTACAATTGGCCTAAGTAGGTATCTCAGATTAACCAACTCAGCTAGTGTACTTTTAAGCAGGACAGGTCCCCTCTACAGTAGAAAACAAATCTACTTTGAAATTATGTTGTTATGAAGAACCAACTCACTTATTTTAAAAGGTGTCTGTCTGTCCAATTCAAGCGAGGTCTGCATGCTTCATATCCTACTAGCTATCTTCGTATTAGGTTGCCACTATAGATAAACCTTAACTGGGTATATCACGATTCCACACACAGCTACTCTGGGTGCACTTTCTTGTGTTGCTAGTAGGAGTTCTACCTCATTTTGTCTTTCTCTAACATATCTTTACCCTTGAGGCACATCACTCTCCTGAAAACTTTAAAACATTTTTGGTACTGCAGTATATTTACACAGCTTGAATCTGTGCAATGCAGCCTGTTAAAAAAAGCCTGTTATCAGGATCCTTTATTTCACTGGAAATTTTGAAGTGCTAAATATGTACTGTATTATTCAGTTTTATATTTGTGCTGGAAATCAAGGGAAAGGAATGCACACAAATTAACAATCTGTGATGGCAAACTGCATGTTTAGAATCATTCTAGTGCAAGCTGCCCTTGTCTTTCTACCAGGGCTCTTATAATGTCCTCCAGACAGTAACAAACATTAGCGCTCTCACTGTTTCAGTAAGACCAGAGACAAGGCTCAGCTGCAAATGCAGGGGGAGGGTTTTCCAACTATTCCATTTTGTGTTCTTGTATCTGAGTTAAAAAGCAGAGAGAGGCATCTCCCTGTCTCAGTGCCATGGCAAACTCCATGGAATATTTGAATTAGAAGATACTGTACTCTTCACAGATCTTTCACTCCCCGTGGTAGGGTAACCATGCTGTCAGTGATTGTTTTTGCTCTTCATGAAAAAAATAAAGAGAATGCCATAAGAGCTAACGTAGCCCAAAGAAAACACAAGGGAGCCCAACCGAAGTAAGTGACTGTTCCTCAGCCTGAGGAGGGGCCCCAAAGACCACAGGGCCCTTAGTCAGGGAAGGCCTAGGTTCTGAACAGCAATATGAACCCCTGAGCTGAAAAGATTTGCAAACATGGTGAACCAGACCACAACTCATGTCAAATCTAATGAAAAGGTTGATGGCTGGATTCTCTGTAGTGATCCAAGCAAGGAAACACAGCTGTTTTTTCCATTTACCACAGATCTGCTCACCAGCTTGTTTAGATGCTGACATGCTCTACCTCCTATTTAGTCCTGTTGGTACCAACTTGTAGCATCATCCGTTACAGCCATGATGTCATCATGAAATGACGGTGCAGCTTCGGGATCAGTGTAGGGCTATATTTTGTCAATTTGGGACACTTGATGGAAGCAATCTTTTTGTTTAATCTTTCTGAAATTGTATTCTTTGTGGTCAAAAGGAGAAAAATCAAATGGACATATGAGGGTCACATGGGGCCATGTGGGTTACTGCATGCACGCAAGCTGACTGATGTGTTCTCCCATTTGTGTGCATTGCTTGATGTGAGTTTTCAAATGCTTTTTTCTCAAGGCTCACTCAGTGGATGGGCAAAATGACAAAACGTAAGATAGCTGTGAGTCCAAGAACTCACTGGGAGTCAGAGAAACTCAGGATCAGAGGAATTTGACCAGTGTCAGATCTGAGTGGCCCTTGAGCCCTTTCTCAAACTGTAACAGACAGCCACCTCTCTTCTCTCCTTCCAAGCGGACCCTCCAGCCCGCTTGTCCTTTCTGCTCCCTCGCTGCACAGCTGCAGCACCGGAGAGACTTTCTCTCGCTCTGTGGCTGCATTCACATCGCATGGCAGGCACATGTTGCTCTCTAGCCCTCTTTTCTAGCACTGCACTTCTTGGGAGGAGGTTTGGCTCTCACTTCCTTTCAGAATGCACCTGAGTCTCTATTGAACTATGCTTTCTCAAACTTAATCTCACCCAAAATTTTTAAGGAATCAATATAAAAATTGATTATGGATGTAAACAGGCTCACAGGCCTGAACAGCAGTCACCTCTGTACCATAGACCATCAGTCCAGGCACAAAAGCTGCCCTTTGTGTGGCGGAGCTTCTCATGAGGCAATTCGCTTTGTAGACCTCACCCTGTTCTTTCAGTTTTTAATGGTCATACTGATCCTCCTGTATTGCACTTGCCACCCATAGCTCCTCTCAGTGGGGTAAGATTTGTTGCAGAGTGTCTGGAACCATGTTTGCCTGATAATGTGAAGCTAAACTAAAAGAAGATATTTTCCTGCTTTATTTGCAGGTTCCCTTGATGTATAGTGATTAGATGTACTTAAAAAACAGCTAACAATTATCATTTTCACTTACCAAAGATGATTATTTTTGATTATGGAAAGACAGGGTTCTGTTTCAAATGTGTTCCTGGGGGCCCTTATCTGTCACAATCTTTCTGATAAGGAAAAATAGAACTCTCTCATATCTCTGATATAAGTCTCACAGGAACCTATTACAAGTCTCTTATCTAGCATACATTTGCATATTGATATAGTAGGATTTATTATGTTTTCATCAAGATTTTTGCATGTGACAGTACATCAAAATGAATGCTAAAAGAAGTACCATCAATTTAAAAGTCATAGCTTCACTGAAAAATGCTGCCCCTATTATTGTTCCATGGTGCTCCTGGGATTACTGTATCTGAAAAAGACGTAGAGGCAGAATGTGCATTTCTTGTTTTCCAGTCTGCGTTTCTTTGTGCTTTAAAAGTCATTTCTCTGTAGCCATTTTCACTCTCATGTTGATGGCTACTTGCATTTCCTCTCTCCTGCTCTGGTCTAATCTAACATTGCTGCTGGCAGTGAAGGCTTTGCACTCTTGCTCAACATTGCAAGGTGTTTGCTGGTAACAGTGGCAGCGACAACACTGAAACCAGAGAGCTATTGGGTTAAGATGAGGGAAAGAAGGTCCTAGCACTAGCATGAAATCGGGGCTTAAGAATTTGTAGACAACATCAGAAGCTGTTTGCAGGCTATTCTGGGACATCATCACTCCCTCCCACTGTCAGGCAAATGACTGATTTAGCCCCAATACCAGTTAATAAACATTGGGCCAGGGTCCTCTTTTGTAGTAGAGTTTCAGGCTGCTGAGTTGATGAGCACCATGTGCAGCAGTGCTCCTATCTGTCCAAGAGTGGCTGCAGAGCCCACGATCTCAGCACACGCCATGTGTGGCAATCCAGTGGGACCCCTCCTGAGTCACCCAAGGATACTTTGAGGTTCCTCTGCCGCAGGAGCCTTTGTAACTGGCCAGCTGCCAGGGAGCTGAGCATGAATGGTCAATAGCAGCTTTCTGAAGCCCATTTTCTCTGCAAAAGAACGGGTTAGCAGGCACAGCGCCTGCATTCCTTTAAGCTCTGTAAATCATAGTACTGTTTACCACATGCTTGTAGCCTGTCATGGACTCATCATCCAAAGGGCCTGCACATGACCTTCCTTTAGACAAGTCTCCCCAAAGTTCTGCTTAGAGAAATACATGAACCATCGACATGTATGGATGGCAGTACAGTCTGGAGGACCACGTAACATGAAGGATATTAGTGCTGGACTCACTGTTGTGCCTCACAGAGCCTAATGAGAGAAAGTCCATGGGATAGTGTTACACCTACCAGACACAGCACCTCTGCAGAGTACTGTGGGAAGTCTTTGTAGGCTGCTCTCCTGCCAGACCTTGCCATAGATCTTCTCCGACTGTTCTCTAGAAATGCTTTCCATGTCGCTCATCTGTTTACCCATAATCTAAATAGCCCAGGCAACTCAAAAATAGATGAGAACTAGCTAGAAGATTTGTGTTTGTTCCTCTTGCTGAAATGAGACATATTTGGCAAGATTTTCTTAAAATAAGTTAAAATAGATAGAACTTAGTGCTAAGGGTACATTTTATTACAATGTGGAAGCATAAGGCACCTTAAGAATATTGAGCCAAGAGATGAGAATAGCACTTTCAGTTTAATACAAACACAGCACACTCAGTTTCTTTCACAGGGCTATCTTATTTGTAAGTCAGGAAGAAACAGAAGCTGATCTGGGAAGAAACAGAAGCTGATATGGCTCTCAGTAAGGACAGTATCAAAAATCCCCATGCGATGGAGAGGAGAGCAATTTTTTCAGGCCAGTTATTCTCTTCATGAGACCATTTTAGCTGTCAAGATTCTTCCATTTTATTTCCGCAGAGTAAAAAGAATTACCTCAAAATTTGTGCTGTCATCACTGCCATCACCATAAGTAGCTCTTTGATATTTTGCCAAGTATAGCAAGAAAGTGCAGCCTCCACAAAGGTTTTGGGACCAAGTTCAGCAATGGCAAACGGAGCGGCATGAATTCCACACTGGAAAGCAGCTGGGAGCAAAACAGGGGTGAATGGGTGCAAAGGAGTGAAATTTGCACTAAATCATCCATCCCTGTTCATGCAAAAGTAGGTGGAAAAACACAGGGGAGAGCTCAGCAGGGAATCAGCCAGTTGTAGATGAAGCTGGAGTCTATGCTTGCCCCAGTGGCACACACAGGGCTCCTAAGGCGCAATGTCTTGGTGACGCTGAGGGGCTTCAGGGAGCTGTATCAGGCTCTCCTGATGGAAGTCCACTTGACTCTGGAAGGCCGCCCTGACTCTGGGCAACTCTGCTGATGAACTGCTCCATACCTTCTCCTTCTTAGTGCCTTTGGGGCACTAATGGCTTTCCATCCAGGTGGTGTCAGCCCAAGGAGTTCTGTACCATGTGGAGTGGAGAAAGCTCTCCAGAGCCTCTGCAGCCTTTTGTTCCCAGGTTATATAGGCCAGGGTTAGCCACTTGCAAGCAACTCCATCTTGTTACTGCATGAAACCTGCTTCCTTTGAATGCTTTCTCTTTTAAACATACAATAAAGACCTTAGTGTAGCTGCACTGAATTAATATGGGGCAAGTCCCAAGTTTCTTAATCAGCTTTAGCTGGCTTTTACTTTGGGAAAACTTCCCACTGAACTTCTGAGTAAGGCCATAAGAATTTGTCCAGAGTAATCATTTTCAGTATGAAAAGAACGTTTACTATGTTATTCCCATCTGGCTTTCCTAGAATATCTCATCTGTTATTCCCTTCACACGCCTCTGTGAAAAGGACCCTGTAGGATGAAGTCATGTTGAAACAATTTTTTTTTGTCCTAAAAATCTGCATATTCTTACTATGGTTACTTTGATCAGAGCAAACATGACTGCACTCCTAGTCCATGGCATCTCTCCCACACTTTCAATACGGATTCAGTGCTTTGCAGTCCTCTCACCCAGAGTGGGGGAATGACCCCTCCACCCTTCCTCCTATGCCACACAAAAGCCAGACAGGAGATGCTTGAACACTGGCAGATTTATAAACCTCATCTCTACTCTAACCCCTGCAAGTCTTGCCTGCTGACCAGGATGCGGCAGGTGTAAATTCTGACTGTCCATCCTCTCCTTTTTTTCCTTTCCCTGTTCCCTCCTTCCACCAGCTCCCTCATCCCTATGTTAATTTGCTGGCATATTTGTCCCTTCTCCTGGCTATTCAATCAGTGTTGTGTGGACAGCATCTATCTCTGTTTTAAGAGACTGCATAATACTGTAATACATGCTAATTCTTTGGGGAGCGTGTGGGCACTCCGACAGTGCAAATCACGCTGATGGTGGTTAAATGGGTGCCCATCGCTTTTCCATTCAGCCAGCAATTGTTCATATTGAAGTGTTCTCTTCTGTTCTTCTATTTGGTTCTCTAGCCAGCGTTACAGAATTACTGGAAGGCAGACCAGGAAATCTGTGGCCACAGCATTACTGGCATAACTGAGGGAGCAGATGTTTGCCTGTATTGAGCATAAGTGATGAATATTTAATTAAACAGATAGATGCCTTTCTCTGGGTGTAGTGCTTCAAGTTATTTAAAGGCTAGGAGATCTGAAAGGTGAGCTGGTTCTGCTGACAGAAGAGAAGCCAGTGAGATGGCTGAGGAAGAGGATGCTCACTAGTGCGAGTGTAAAAAGTCTGTGTCATCTAACAGCATCCTCCAGCTGCTCAGTCTGTGTTGCCATGCTCCAGGAGCAGTCCCTTTGGGACCCCTGGGCCAGATGATTAGAACAGGCAAGGTAGAGTGCTTTCATGACTGGGAAAGATAGACAGTGGAGGTAACGAGAGTGATCTTGGGCCTCGGCCAAGAATAGAGCATCCCAAAGCAGGAGAAGAAAAAGCAGAGAAGAAATAGCTGAAGTAGTGATGCCTGGAGTAAGTTGTCAACTGACTGCTGCAGACACTGTGTTGGGGGGAAACATGTATTTGAATACGTGGAAAAAAGCGTTCCACATCTACAGATGAGGACTGGAGGGCAAGCTGGCTGCCCGGTGCGGTGCCGGTTAGCTAGAGCCTAATGAGCTGGAACGACCATCAGAAGGAGCTGGTCAGATGAGGGCAGTGCTGCCTTGGGCTAATATGTCTGCCTCTCAAAGTGGCTGAGGCTCCACCAAGGCCACCACACTACAGCAGTTTGACTGCTTCTGTTGTCCCAGCTAATCTGGATGCTCTACGTGGCACTGTAAAACTATTATTTCCTAGGCAAAACACCAGTTTGGTTGTTCTGCGTGCTCTCATTTGCAGGCAATGTTTGGATAACCCATTCAGAGACCATTACTGTCTCTTGTTTTAAAATTAACATTGCCTCTCTTTTAAGGGTGGCTAATACCACACATGACTAATGGATTTGTCTGTACAAAGAATAGCTATGGGTGGCACCAGCTTTATCAGGGATTAGAACATCTGCTCTCTGTGGAACAAATTGTGAATGGGGTTTTTTTTTAGTTGTGTACACACATAAATCGTAAAGGAAAAGACCACCTTATTGTTGGTCAAGTCTTCACTATATGCCAGATGCTGCAAAATTAGGGAGTGAGTCACTGCCCTCCCAGCAGGCAGAAAGCGGATGGAGGGAAAGCAAACATGAGGTAAGGGGAAGGAAGAGTGAAGACTGAGCCAGTGAAACCAGCTGACGGTGGCTGAAGCGCTAAGTACATGGCAGGGTAGGACGGAGTTTTATTTGTCTTACTGTTTCCCCAAGTAGTGGCAGGTGTGAGGACCTAATATGCTGTAAAAGTGATAAACTAATCTGGAGAGTATTTTAATAAGGAAAAATGTAACCTCACTCCAAATCCAGATGGTGTTCAATGGTGACTAAATAAGGAAACACATTATTTCATAAATAAATATCCCACTGAAGAGAGCAACTGTATGTATTGGTGCCAGTAGATTCCCATAGGGAGTCTGGAGAGCAGATTGAGGCTGATGTTCCTAGGATATTTTCTACTTGTTTCTTTCACCACATAATAATCACATCACCACAATAAGACAATGTACTTCTTACCAGCTCTTTGCTCCTATCGTATCACATAGGCAATCTATAAGATGGTTTCTTCTGTCATGAAGATGCCGGAAGATGAGTCGACACCAGAGAAAAGGACAGAGAAGATCTTCCGCCAGATGGACACCAACCGTGACGGTAGGCTTGCCATCAGGTGCTGGGGAACACGCGCCTGCCCAGGGGACAGGGAGGCAGGAGGTGCCCTGGCCACTTCATGTGCCTGTAGGGGCTCCCTCTGAGCCAGACTAAACCTCCTGCATCCTTCCAAGCAGAGCCACGGTGGAGATGACTGCCACAAGCGGAGGAGGAGTTGTCACCCCTGGGGCCTACGGGAGCAGGGGGGCCCACAGGGATGCACCTCAGCCGGGTGGGAGGACATGGGGAGAGGAAGAGGAGCAGGCTGTGGCCAGGGGTGTCTTCTGGGGACGGAGGTGCCGCGGGGGCCTGAGCTGCCCGGACAGATCCTGGTACAGCCCCTCCGTTGGGAGGTGGTGCCACAGCAGCACGCAGGGACCCCTGGGGAGCCGGCAGCCCTGCCGCCCGCTCTAACGCCAGGAAAAGCAGCCCCGCATCGAGGAGAAAGGCCGTTTTCCTGCGCTTGCTGGCCTTGTCTCAACCATCCCTGAACACCCGGGTCAGAATTTCTGGAGTGTCGTGCAAATAAATAGGAAGTGCCATTAGCAGGTTAAGAAAAGCGGGTGGGGAGGGAGTTATGGGGACGGGAAACTGGGAAAGGGCTGCTCCTCAGGAGGGTTCTTCCATCGTGTCATTACCTTATTATAAATGGCGGGCTAAATGTTTACTTGCTTCTTCATGGCGCTGGCTTAAGCACCGCTCTCGGGCTTTCAAGCAGTCTTGAAACATTCATCAACTTGGGAGGCAAAGAAAAGCTTTAGATTACACCCGCTAATTATGCAGCTCACCAAGAGCCTGCGTGCAAACTGACAGCCTTATCTCCCGGTTCATATTTCAGGCCGTGCTTTTTTTTTTTTTTTTAAGAAGGAAAATAAGCAGTGGCTGCCGCTCTGTGAAAGCAGCCAAACTGAGGTAAAATAATTTGCAGCTGGTCGGGCTGTGCGCTGCTTGAGGAACATGGCTTAGGCACCCGCAACAGGGTTTTTTTTTTCCTAAAATTATCTTTTTTTCCTGACAATTAATGAAGTTAACGTTGGAGAACAGAAATCTTGTGATAAATGCCCAACACTGTCCACAGAGGAGCAGGGTATGGATGTGCCAGTGTCCTGGATCTGAGGCTTTTCCAAAATGCTTTTTGGAGATCACAAGTCTCAGCTCTTACCTGGAGAGGCGGCTGTTGAATGAAAGCAAACAAAACCACTCTGTACTTCTGCTATACAATTTGTCTTCTCAGTGCTTTACTGAAGTTGATTTCCATCCTCATAAAACCTCATGAAATTATCGAACGAAGGGAAATGCTGGAGCGGAGGGCTGGTCTCTGGCGGAGGTGGGGGCCACGTGCTGCAGCCCAGGCTGCAGGGGGATGTCGGGAGCCCTGACTCGGGCTTGAGCGCTCGCCCCAAGCTGAGCCTTCGCCCCTGGCAGGGGGCTGTGGGGACAGTGCCACCTCTGCAGCTTCTTCGGACACCGCCAGGAAAGCGATGTGGGGGGAGCGCTGAGGAAAGGCACCGGGAGCCTGCCTGCCCCAGCCGGGTGGAAAGGCGGCGCTGCGGGAACGGTAGCCCCGTTCGCGCGGGGCTCCCACGCAGGTCAGCAAACCGTTGTGTTTTCCCAGGGGTTTTTCCTCGTGCTCTGTGGCTTTCCGTCCGCGGTGCGCGCCGGGAGGCTGGGCAGGTGCGCGGAGAGGGAGCACGCGCCCTGAGCCGACGTGTGTTTCTCTTGCAGGAAAGCTCTCCCTGGAGGAGTTCATCCGAGGCGCCAAGAGCGACCCGTCAATCGTCCGCCTCCTGCAGTGCGACCCCAGCAGCGCCGGGCAATTCTGAACCCGTTCTTTGGATGAATTATGTATCTGCTTTTTTTTTTCCTTGCCAAACAACATTCATGGTAGTGTTGCCTCTGTATGGCCAATTATGCCTTCTTTTGTGGCATCTTATAGCTTCTTTTGTTGTGGATTAATTATAAGAATGCTGAATTGCTCTTAATGATTTGTCCAGAGCATGGGCAGTACTGTTTTAAACAGCTATTGTGGCGTTATCATTGTTTTAAAGATTTCATTTTGTTTTTGTTTTAACGTGTCTGTTTTGGAAAGTATGCAATGCAAAGGAAAAAAAAACAACCACAAAACCCATGGCAGCAAGACATATTGACAGATTCTAGATTGCTGCTTTAGTAGCTGAATACTCACCCACAGCACCTGAAAGTGTAGTAGAGATTGAAGCAAAAGGGTTACGGCAGGGGCAGAGTTCATCGGGCACCTCTGTTTCCTACCCAGGAGGCACCAGTTAAGCTCAAAGACAGGATCACGAAGAAGTATGAATGTGCAAAGCTGGTGAGGACTGTATTGTCCGCACCCCTGCTCCTATGCCTCGTTGTTTCAAGGCTGTGAACATTTTCAAGGTTGTGAAGGAGAAGGAAAAAACAAAGATCAACAGTCTTACTAGGTTTACAATGGTTGATTTCACGTGGCTTTATCTGAAAATTCAGCAATTTGCAATCCTGATCCCAAAATCCACAACAGACGATACCTCCAGCCGTTTGGGATCAGCAAAGGCAGACATGGATATTGAGAACTGGGTATTGACAATGAATTTAAGGGAGATACATGTTGAATGTGAAATTTTCAGGTTAGTAATGAAGCAGTTTCTACTAAGGAGAGCGAGCATTCAACTGAGTAAATAACGCAACACCTGCAAGCAGCTAAATCTGAGGCAAATCTGCTGTTCTGAATGCTCTTGTGTAGTGCAAAGTTTTGGGGGTGTTTTTGTCTCTCTCCATGTAGTTAATGCAGTTTCTGGGCCGGCTCTTAGAGGAAGGCTATCATCAAAACTTGTTTTAAGCATAAAATTGTAGCGTTTATATTTCATTTATTTTAGTAAAGTTCAAAAATCTGTACTGAAACAAGGAAATGGTACGCTTTATGGTATATTTATATATATAAAAATTAAAACAACAAAAAAAAAAGATCAGCTCTGAGAGAAATGTTGAATGTTTATCTTTTCGCCTAGATGCAGGAGTTCTGAAATTTGCTGCTGCAAAATTTTATCCTTTGGTCAGAGTTGCTATATTCAAAGCTAGTATGCGTATGTGGGCTTGCTTAGTGACTTTATAAGCACTGCTGCAATGGAAAAGCTTTAGCGACAGGAGGCATTATGCTGACTAAATTGGAGTTAATCTGTCATTAGCTCGTCTGCTCTGTGATCCTGAGGGTGAGGTATCCATGTAGGCAGTGCATTGTATTGGTGAGCCAGTTAAGAGCAACCGCTGTCTGAGAGGCAAGGCTGGCACTGTGTCAAGTGACCTTGTAGATGCTAATCCCCAAGTAGCCTTAATTTAAAATAAACTAAGTAAAATAAGTCTGCTTTGCCCGTGATGATTAGCTAAGCACTAATTAGAACTCACAGAAAAGTAGCTGAGTTATGAATAATTTTTTGTTGAATGCTAGCTAGCATGCACAATAATTAAGAAGTAAGATATCCTGCACTTAGTTTTTCAATACAGTTTGCTTTGCCAGGTTTCATATGCAGAGCATACTAACATATGAATAAATCAAAGACAAAATTGCTAATCAGTTGTACTAAAATGATCGGTGGCTAAGCGCACGTGATAAATATTTTTAGGCACACACTTTTGTCTCTATTGATCACAGCGAGCCAACTGATGACATATTCCTGCAAAATTCATTAAAGTACTGGGCAGAGGTGTGTGCAGGTATATGTGAAAGTGAGAAAATAAAAGAGGCCCAAACACAGACACACAAACACAATCAGATTTCAACACTTTATGCTTGTAGCTGTTAGAAACATCACTGGCAAATTTTACGTCAATTCTTCTAGTTGATGGAGCTGTTTCTTATTTAGTTCTTCCTAATCTTCATTAGACATCCTGTGCACAAATCTATTCCTTCAAAGAAAAGCCTGTACTTGACTTCCTCAAGATAACTTTCAGTTTTGCCTGAAGAGGTTCTGTATCCATCACCTCATGCATATTCAAAGCCATGTTCTCTCTTTAGTGTTTTGAGAGTTGTTTTTCAGTAGGACAAACCTGGCTAGATTGCTGTGAATTGCTCCATGAAGGTCAGTGGACATACACTGATTAACATCCACTTTGTTAGATATAAACAATCAGTCCTGCTGCACCAGCCACTTCCTGGGATGCTCTGTCACCACCAGTACGCGGGGAGGACTAAATGATGTGTTAGAGGAATCCTCAGCTCTACTTAAAAACACTGAAATTCTAATCTCTGGGCTAAGTGCAAGCCTCTAGATCAAAAGCAGCCCAGACCTGTAAAAGCTGACATTTACTGAAGATGAACTTGGATACCTTCTGCAGTTTCATCTTTTTTTTAATATTATGGAAGCAGTTGTATGTATCTGAAACTATTAAAACGTTACCTTTTATTTAGGCAGCTGCATTCCCTCTCTTTTTAGTTTTATAAGATATTTCTGGCCCAGAACCTAATCTCTCAGTTTGTTTTAGCTCAGTAGCTTTGGGCTTTTTGGGCCAGGCTTGCTTCATGTGTTAATACTTTACAACATGTGTTTGAAAACACAACCTGCGCTATGACCCCGGGGCAGTGGAGATGTAATTCTTTCCACAGTTCACAAAATCTAGAAGAATAAGAATTAGCCTACAGCTGCAGAGGACGTAACTGGAGATAAGAATATTGTATAAACATTTACAGAGAGAACTAAGGTTATTCTTTACCTGACTACCACTGATGATTGATATTGTTTTAAATTATTAACTGTTCCTTTCTATCTCTGTAAAAATGGACTCCGCATGTACTTTGAAAGTGATCCATAGCTGAATTTGTTACATGAACATCTGCAGATCTCGCATCAGCAAAACAGTAGTGCTATGCAGTGTGTTGGATTCGAATTTACTGTTTTGCTACTATTATCATTTACAGTCATAATAGCCTTCATAAATCTTTTGAAAACAGAATGACTTATCCTGTATAAAATAACATAGCAAGTTAAACATTTTCAACAGATCTATTAGAAATATCCCCATACATGAAGGAGGGCAGGGAGTACATGCTATTTCCCATCACCTCTCAATGCTGTAGATACATTCTCCAGTAACACTTGCATGTAAAGAGGTAACTTTGACTCATCTGTTATCCAAAAACAGAATGAGTATGTCCAGCATATAGACTTAATCAGTAGAAATGCCACCCCCATTTACCCAGCGTTCCCAGTCAACTTGCCAGGGCTGATCTAGATTCTTGTGCAGAAGATGTGAAGTGAGGACTGTGGCTTATGCTATCTGCAGCAGCCTGTCTTGGTTTTACTGTGCTCTGAGACTGGAAATGGGGAGCACAATCTTTGTAAAACCAGCACGTATGTGCTTTTGTGAGCCCTTAGTGTTTGAGAGGAGCTGAAGAAAGATTGATATCTCGACAGTATTTGAAACTGTGTGTTCACAGTAGTGAATGTTCCTGAGGTAAACAGAGTTGTGCTGTTCCTCTTACTATACTTAAGGATTTTTAGGTTTTTCACCTTATTATTGAGACAATTCATCCTTCATTGTTCTCCATTATAATGCATGACCTCCACATTTTCTAGATACTGCTGCTTAAAACAATAAGCTCTAAGTGCATAACTACTATAGCTGGAAGAGGTCTAAATGCAGAAATAGCGTGTACGAGCACAAGAAGTGTTCACACATGACCAAGTCACCATAGCTTCATAAATCACCCCCCTCCATGAGCTGTGCCACAGGAATTTTCTGTATGTGCTCTCTTAGCTCATGGCAAACATGAGGTAAGGTGGCTTAGCTTAATTTTCTTTCACCTTAGACTAGGCTAAGTTGCATCACCTTGCATTCACTGTGGGCTGAAAGCACATACAGGGACAGCTACCACAGCTCAGCTGACTCATGGAAACTTGGTGAACAGTGGTAACTTGATCTTGAGTCCTAACCTGCAAACTGAGCTGAGATGGGAACGTCGCAGTGGCTGTAAGTCTCGCTGTACATGTGAACGGGGGAACACGGCAACAGCAGCAGGCTCTCTGGGAGTGTGTGGTTGTGAGAAGGGAACCCCTTGCATCAGAACTAATGCCCTAAGCTGCGAGCAGTCTCCCCTTTTTAAAAACACCATCTTGTTTTTAGTAGCACTGATCAAGATGCAACATCAGCAATGTAGCAGGTCAGGATGAAGGAGGCATCCTTGATGGTGCTAAGAGTTTCCTTTGGAAGCCTGGTGTACTAATACGAAGTGAAACACGTGGAAGGGGAGGGTCAGGCTGAGACCTCTCCCAAACTCTCACTACATCAGCACCCCCTGTTGTCTTTCGGATGGTGCTTATTTGGTTTTCTGTGGTGAGATGGTCTTTGGGCTCAGGAATTAGGTAACTGGTGCAAGACCAGGGGAGCAAAATATTTTACCTGCCATTTGCACAAGTATTTGGATGCATTCTTTGCTCTGTATCTTACTGGATATGATCTCACATAGCAGTATTAAAGTGGGGGAAGTCGGTTTCCTTGGCATCATGGGCAGGAAATGTGCTTAGAAACATAAAGAAACTTGGCAAGCATCGGAGAGTCAGGCAACGCTCAGAGCTGAACGGCAGAGTTTTTTTGACTGCGCACCAGAGAGAAAAGACACGCAGCAGTGATAAATCAGACCCATGGTATGATGTGAGACAGAACTATAACACAAATGGTACCTTCTAACTGAGCAGCTCTGTGTCCTGTGTATCCAGAGTCAGACATGCTGACAAAATACACTTTAAATACTCACCTTTAGCACAAGCACGCTGCTAGAGAAGGACAATAAACAGAGCTGTTTGGTGTGTCCCAGTTAGAGGTTGACCAAATGGGTGGCAGGAGGACCAGATGGCATTTCCTAAGCATGACTGAGGGCAAAATTTTGCCTGCAGGAACTTTCCTCCTGGTCATGGTAGACAAGAAGGAAAAACTCTATCTGATTCTCAAAGCCTCAGTGCTGTTTTCCAGGCTGCTGAAGGTGAAAAGATCTTCACCTGCAAATTGGGCACGTTTGATGTGAAATGAGCGTGAGCTACTTACAGCACAGAACCCCAGGTTGACCATTTACCAGCAACTTTTAAAGATAAGAATAGGATGTTAGGCAGGAGAAGAGCTGTGCTTTAAGCACATGGAGAAAAAAAAAGAACCACGATTTGTAAATTGGCATGAAAAGTAGTCACACTAGAAACTGGGACCCTCGTAGGAGAGGTCTAGAAGTAGTTAAATCACTCTGACAGGCAGAACAGTAGGATGATCAGTCAGATGCAAAGTGAATCTTCTAGTCCCTTCCAGAAACCATCTCTGGCTACTTGAACGTCGCAGTTAGCAGCATCC